CATTATAGCCATTCTGTATAATGAAGAAATACTTTCATATTTAGACATCAACAACATACTTAAGTGTAATTGTTTTTATAATCAGCTTCCAAAACTAACCTTTTGAGGTGCCTAAATTTCATAAACAGCCGTCTCGCCTTTGTTATTGTTAATTGCATTAACGCGTGTGCCATCATTCTTACATTGCCATTGTGGTTACATTGCCTGTAGGAAATTTTTTTCTCAGTTACTAAACGCACCACCGTCACCTATCGTGTATTATCAGTCGTAAACAAACTTTGAAACTGTCAAGATGGCTAGTAAAAGAAAAGCGTTATTATATAGCGTATTAGGTATATGTGTTTAGAATAATTTTCCTATTGTTCTCCTGTTCTAACTCTCTTCGCTCCCTATAACAAACAAAAAATGCTCGGTCCCTTGAGTTCGTTACACTGTATTACAAATATTTTTTGTTGACTGGCCTATTTAATTGCCCACAAAAATATGGTGCGGACCCGCTTTCACTATAAGTGACAATCACTATGCACTCCTTTACCAATTAATTCCTAATCACTGTTTTAGATGTGATCAATAATTGTATTAATTATAATTGCCTTTAACACTCATCAATATTACCTACAGTAATTTTGAGTTTATCGCAAAGACACATAAACGCGGCGGATAGTGTTGCCCAAATGCAAGACAAGACAGACTTAGGTCAGTCTTGGTATTGGTCTTGCGACAATACACCTGGTCTTGATCTTGGTCTTGGTATTGCGCTCTCAGTCTTGGTCTTGGTCTTGATCTTGCAGCAAGAGTCTCGCAAGTCTCGCAAGACTTGCAAATACCTATTAGCCTATTGCTATTTATTGAAACGTTAGTTTAGATTTTAGATTATGATTCGCACTGTAAGACGTATTAGTTGACTCTGTAACTACATACGTCTTACACGCGAATAATATTTTAATCAACAATCTAGCACTAGCCTGCAAATTGCAAAAAAAAATTGAGTTTGGCGGGCTATCCTATGCTACCTATGCGGCTAAAATAAGGAAGTGCTGTGTTGAGATTAGCAGATTTCATTACAGTGTGCGTAAGTACATTTTTTAGGCAATTTGTCGTACTCGTGACTGGCGCGCTTTGCTACGTAGGTACAGTCGTTAAAATATTGTAATAAGAAACGATGAAGGTACCTACTTCAACAAAATTGTATTCTTTAGAAAAATAACGACGATTATTTTTATTTATCGACGACTCATTGGTCTAGTGGTTAGTACCCCTGACTGCGAATCCATGGGTCCCGGGTTCGATCCCCGGCTGAGACGAACATCGATGTGATGAGCATTTGGTGTTGTGCTTAGGTCTTGGGTGTTTAAATATGTATTTATATGTCTATCTATCTATAATATGTATGTATATCCGTTGCCTAGTACCCATAACACAAGCTTCACCAGCTTATCATGGGACTCGGTCAATTGGTGTGAATTGTCTTTAATAAAAAAAAAAAAAAAAATATTTAGTAAATCATCGCTGAAGACAATAGTCGCTACTGGAGTAGGTACGATAGAAGTTGATAAATCACACTGCAAATCTTGATTTTTGGAAGTGTGTGATTTTAAAACAAAATCGTAAAGCAATATGACGTCCTCATATTTGGAGCTTTTCCACGTTTCAAGTTTGTTAAAATCACCCACTTCCAATTTTGCAGTGCAATGTCCTAAAAAGGTATAATAGGTTATAATAATATAAACTAGTAGTATATTTTTATTACTTACAAATTTTTTTATAAAATCTACCATCCAGGACTAATTCTTCCTTGCGAGGACAACATAATCTATTTGCGTCCGTTCTGAGCACCCGGAAACTTATTTTATTCTTTAGAACATGGGCAGTGCGGCGACCTTTGACATGAAAGCACGGCGGCAAACAAAGTCTAAAGCGGACTAAATTTTTACCTATTTTGGTGGGGTTGTCAATGTTGGCATTAGCACAGAAAATAAAATTAAGTAAAACAACGTTTATCCACTTTTTAATAACTAGGTATCCACGATAGAATATTTTTCTACTAATTTCCTAAGTACTCAGTCTAAATATCTTTCATAATTTTTGTTTTTCAATAATTTGTTGTGTGTAATTGAATGGTAAATCTAAATCTTACTTAATAGCTTTTTTTAAAATAAACTATGAAAGCACTGACATGATAAAACTTTTCAATTATGCTGCTCACATTTTAGTACCTAGGTATATCACTCACTATCTTCATTACCGAGATTAACAATTCAATTCAATAGATGCAATACCTACTTAGTTATTAATTATCATTCGCCCGACAGCTTTAAACGCTGTATGTTCAATTCGAGCCAGTGTGAGAATGTATTTAAATACAAGAAACTCAGAGCATTCAATTTATACCTACCTACTCTGAGACATCTTCAAGGTCATTTAATTTTATCCTCCTGTACCAACTCTACCAAATAGGTAAAAATTTTGTGTGCCTCTGTCGGACTCTTTGTCGGCGAATGCGGCGCTCAAACAGTGTCAAATGCTGTATACACTCGTTGCAAACCGCGGCCTCTTTGTCGGTAAATTATCAAATAAGTAGGTATTATACACCGACCGACCAACATTTATTCGCAGAACGTCACAATTTCCCAATCAACCTGAACCTTAATTCTTTAGCGATAAAGTTGAAAATCTGTTAAAGAAATTTGACAGATTGTAGTACCTTGATTGCTGGCGTCTGTACCATAATATTGGCTGCCGTAGAAACTTTACTAGACCTACTCACTCCAGTTAGTTTTAAATTTTGCTAAATAGAAGAATAATATAAACTTTGAAAATAAGTAGGTACTTAATTGTTATTAATTTTGTTGGCTATAATTTTAAGCACATACCAACTAGAGTTCTAACGTTAGATCTGCACTTAATAAACAACATAATACATTATTATAGGTTAGTTGATACCTACAAGGTATAATCTTTTAGAAAGTTATTCTGGGTAAATTTTATAACATGGGATCATGGTAACAGATTTGTGAATAAATTGTTGAAATATAATAAGTACTTACCTACCTAATAATACAATACCTTTCAGGGCTCTTTTAGACGAGCGGCACGTTTAGTGTTATGACGATACTAACGGTTTTATACTGGGGAACGTCTCTCAAACGGGAATGAAACCAAATACCTACTTAATAACGCCCAAATCTCAGTTTGTCAACTGCAAACGCAAGAGTCTTGCAGGCTTAATATTGTCTTGCTCAAGTCTTGCAGGCTTCAGTCTTGGTCTTGGTATTGCTAAAATAAGGCGGTCTTGGTATTGGTCTTGGTCTTGCGAAAATGCAAAACAAGACCAAGACTCAAGCAGACCGATTTTGGGCCACTAGCGGCGGAGGACTTGTTTTTATATAATACTAGAAGACCCAGCCCAGCGTTGCTGAGGCTTAGGTTTTTGTTATATTAGGTACATAGTAGTAAACTATTCAAGGGAAACGGTAGGACAACATCAATCATGGGGGCCACCATGCTATTTTGATAGTTATGCCATTAAATTGTAGCTTATGTGAAATATTGGTACAGTAAAATCTCTTTATTCGCGGGGTATACGTTCCATAAATATGCCGCGAATACAGAAACCGCGAATACAGAATGGTAATTAATATGGGTTTATAGGGGATACGTTCCTAGATGCCAAAATAAAAAACACAAGTATATAAGAAAGTCAATTTTATTGATGTTATTGAACATTTTGATTATGTAATCATTATCCTCAGGCTTAGGCAATGGTTTGAAGAATTTTGTTATTTTCTCTTGCTTGGCATTTTTTAATAGCTCCTTCAATTCAGACTGATACTCAGCAGTCGCATTAGCAATTTGCCTCTTAAAATTAAGACTTCGTTCCATAGATGGATCAATGTTCATAAAGAAATCGCAAAGCTCATTTGCCATTCTTAAACCTTCACTAAGATTTTTCAGAGTAAATGCGACATTTTCAGTTCTAGTTAAAGCCTCTTCTTCAATGGGCTGTGAATTTAACATTTCCTCCAAGTCGATTTCAGTCAAATCTTCATCTTGCGATTCAAGCAATTCCTGAATGTCACTTGATTCTGTCTGTTCGAACCCATCTCGTCCTATTCCATTTGCAATTTCGGCTATGTTTGCAGTCAAAGCTTGAACTTGTACGGATTCTTCGTCATTTTCCGCAGTCAGAGCAGGCCATAGTTTTTTCCAGCATGACTTCAATGTGTGTGGTTTCAGTTCGTCCAATGATTCTTTTATGTTTACGATGCATTATGCTATGTCAACTTTCTTCCAGCATTCCATAACATTCATGTCAGGATTACACTCCATATTATCTATATGATATTGCGTTAAACACCTATTGGAATTTTGTATGAAATTTTAGATCCGCGAATAAAGATATTTTTTGCCGCGAATAAAGAAATTGGGTTGCATTTTTTTAATCCGCGAATAGTGAAAACGCGAATAGGGAGCTTTCACTGTACTTTCAACACAGCGCCATCTGTTAGAATTGTGATTGTCAAATAATAAACAAATAATTTTCAATAAAATAATATATTGGGTATAAATTAAGATGTAACACGGTGTGCAAATTTGATTGAAATCGGTTAAGTAGTTTAGGAGTCCCTAGCGGACAATTGTTTAGGCATTGTCAATCTCTAGGTGTCTTTTCTATAGAACGTATCTCTCATTAAGGGCATCGTAAAAAACGTGGTCGTTTGATCACTCTTTTACGACTTACTTTTCAAATCCGATTACCTATGAAACGTAATCTTTCTATTGGTTAAATTTTTCTCGAATTAAATCATAATAAAAAGCCTTTACAAAGCCGGATTTAGAGCCCCAGTTGCCCTCCCCTAAATTTAACAGAGAGAGTCGCACGAGAAAATATTAATCATCCGGAGAATTTACCACCTTGGAAAACCCAAGCTCTAATTAACAAATAACACCAAATATAATTAAAATTCGATTTTATTTAAAAAAAACATATAAAAGAGACTTCATTCTTTATTGCGCTTCTTTTTCTTTTTCACAGGTTCGCAACTGTCACCATTTGTATTCACATCTATGCTTTCATTTCTTTCTTCTACTTCGTTTTCTTTATTTTTACGTTTTTTCTTTTTCTTTTTTTCTACTATTGAATCTTCTACATTATTATCTGGAATGAAACTAATTTCTTCTGCTAAGTCATTTTCAAGATTTGTATTCACATCTTTGCTTTTATTTCTTTCTTCTACTTCGTTTTCTTTATTTTTACGTTTTTTCTTTTTCTTTTGTTCTTCAATAGAATCGTCGACATTATTATCTGGAACAAAATTTATTTCTTCTGCTAAGTCATTTTCACGATCCTTTTTCTTTTTTTTCTTTGACTTTTTACTTTCCTCATTATCAAACTTATTTTCTTCGACATTATCATTTGTTTCAGAGTCAGCTTCCTTGTGCTTCTTATTTTTTATTGTGTTATCATTAGATAAACGTTGTACATTACATTCCTCTTTAGATCTTTTCTTCTTTTTACGATCTTTCAACACTTCTTCATCATTTAATTCAGCAGAAGCAGCTTCGACCGCCACCGAGTCTTCTTCAACTGGACGCTTCTTTTTCTCCTTTTTCACATTGCTAGTCTCTTTATCTGTTCCATCTTCAGGTTTCTCCTGTTTTGGATCTCTCTCTAAGACTGCCAAAAAGAATCCAGTAGTTAGATCCGAATCTGGTTTTGAATATAGGCACCTGGTACCCATCTCACCGTACATTCCTGATCCAAAATTATTCCAATTTCCTTTAAGAAGTTCTTTAACATTTAAAACTTTCCATTTTGCTCTGGATGATTTCACGACATTAGAAATTACTCTTTCATTTTCTTGAGGGAAGAGTGAACAAGTACTGTAGACAATTTTTTTAGCTTTTGGAAATGAGTTCATAGCGTGCTTTAAGAATTTCTCTTGTAATGAGGTTAAACGCGCGAGTCTTACATCTTCGACGTAGTTGTGGATAGAAAGTTGCATTCCTGAAATAAATATAAGTATTAAAAATCTGTCAAAACTGAATTTTAACCAAGTATTGCATATCTTATTCTAAAAGGTTAAAAAATTATGTAAATTTCCATAATGCTTATTTTGCGGCAATATAGATTTTGAACCATCAACTATGTAAGAAGATTTAAAATATAAATATACACTACAAATTAAATTAATATGAAAATTTAAAAACGTAACGACACTAGCGTCTTTAGTCATCTTTAGTGTTTAGATATACACAATTTGCATAAAATTTACATAAGGAGTTAAAATTAAACGCAGCCAATATAAACATAACTGAGAAATAAACTTATCAAGCTTGCTACATTAACGGTTTTTTTTGACATTAGTGACATTTCAAAAATGTTGATAATAATTACACGTTTAAGAATAGTATAAAGAAATATTGTTGAATAGCTAGCAGTCAGGTACACTTTGACTGGTATAAAAGCAGGCTTTGACCGCTTAAAATTGGTATTATAAAATGATTTTAGTTCTCACCAGAACCAGAACAGCTCGGGTCCAATATTATGTACTCAGCGTCGTCACATTCCCCCTTCTTAATGTCCAACGAATCCCTATGCATAGTGGTTACACATTTCGACTCAGTTTTATTCACAAAGTCGCAGAGTGTTTCGTATCTTTGCTCATTTCTTTCCACCGCGTATATCTTCCCCTACAAAAATATGAAAATAACTGCCTAGAGATAATAAGGTCTTAAAAGAAAAACCCGACTGCGTTTGTTTCATTAAATGTTCTACCCTATATACCCCACATACAGTGTTCTGAAAGACTGTTCGGATAGTACCTGCAGCTGAATGCCATCGACTCAAATAGTCTGTCACAAAAAAAATACGTCCGTAGAGATCAGCAATGTATATGCAGGTGGCGCAGCATTATTCTAAGTGCAACCTGCACATGCCTGCTTCTTGAAAATATCTGTATTCTTCAATTGCAGGTCTACTACCAAACAGCGCAGCATGAAGTGAATTTAACAAGTCCATAATTGTGTCTTGAAGAAGTTTTATAGATAAAAGTCTAGCCGAAAATTTGTGTCAAATGTCAAAATTATGATTTTATCTGTAAATTGGATTTTTTGTAAATTTACCTGATTTCTTATATAAGCAGCAAGTTGAGTTGTCTTCATTCCTGGAGCAGCACACATGTCAAGAATCACACTTCCTTGAGGTGGTGCCAGTAAGTGTACAGGGAGTGCTGTCGCCTATTAAATAAATGATTACAAAATCAATTAGTGTTTATATTTTAGCATTTAGACAGCTGTCTTCAAAATCACCCTAGATGTTGGCTAGCCTTCCAATCTTGGAGCATATTTAGCAGCTTTCATAGAAACTACAGCAGATACAACCAGAACATGTTATCTGCTAAAGGTCAGCTAAGGGTTGTAGACTTAGACTCCAGTTTGCTTTTTATTAAATTTTAATAAGTATTTATTCTATTTTTATTCTTGTTCTTATTAAGACCTGCTTGTAAAGCTATAAAAGCAACACCTGTTTTTCTCCTCTCCTTTTTCTATCTATAGTGTAAATCCCACCAACATTGGTTCAATTGTTTTAATATAAATTGACAAACATAAATATATTGAATTCCTTATAAATCATTCAAAAAAAAAAAAATATGAAAAATTTGGTAGGTAAGGAACAATTGATAGGCATGGAAGAAAAATGGACTTTTGAATTGTAAAATTGCAAATCCTTCAAATGGAAATAAAATAGATAAATAGAGCAGACCCAAAAACGGTAATTGACAGTTATAATATTAATACAATGTATGTATATACCAACAGTACTATACCTTATCCTGAAGTATAAGTTTGTTTTCCAAATACAAGTCATAATCATGAAACTTAGTATTTGGGTGAAATACAAACATTGTTTTAACATGATAGTCTTGGGTAAAGTCATATTCTGTTAAACCCTGTATTTGTTTTAAGTAGTCATCATAAGACCCAGATGTACATCGTATGAATTTATAACCCTCGTCTTGGAAGGCTCCAATCGCATCGGAGGTTGTGAGCAGGTTAGTGTTGATTCTCACATACCTAGGCCGACGGACTAGAAATAGAAACATAAGTTTAATGGCTTTTACACAAAATTCATAATAGCTTCTGTTTTATATTGTGTATTTTCAAACATTCTGCTTAAAATGTGAAGACTGATTAATTTATTCTGAATATTAATAAAATAAGTTTAAAGAAAGTGATATTAAATATAAAAGTCAACATTTGTACACAGTTTAATGTTGAAATATTATTTAAATTTTTTTGATACCTCAAACAAAAAGCAAACTAAAGCAGCCATAAGATATAGTTGTTTTTCAAGGATTTTTCTACAAATAATGTAATTTTTGTCATCAATATGGCATATTTAATGATCTGTTATCCAACATTATTTCAATACATCAAATTCATGAAAAGGAATAATGAACTTGAAAATAAGTATCATAAAAAATTTGTAATAAAAACACAAGAGCTTAATATTCGAATTTATCTCCATTATTAAATAAATACTCTTATAAATTATTTGGCTAACTTGGTAGATAATGAAACAAATATATTTTTAATTATTTATTAAGCTTCAAGCACTAATTAAAAATTGGAAATACTACAGTACTTTGGAATGTTAATCTTGTTTAAAATTTAAAGAACTTTTTTCAGCTTCTTTTTGGGCTGGTGGGTAAGAATGCTGGTCAATTTCATTACCATGCTCATCATATTCTTTTTCATGATATGCCTTATATGCATACAGAAATATAATACTATTAACTACAACAACAGCAGATACAACTGACCAGACAGTCCTCATAAATGTATCAACAGGATAATACTCTGACAAAATATGTCTAACACCGAAAAATGCAACAAAAGGCAGGGTAAACATTGCAATACTGTATAAAAATAATATAGCTAATGCATATGCAGCTTGTTGAGTATGTCTTGGTATAAGGGGTCCCTTTTCAGTGCTTTCTGCCATTGTTGCAGCCGGAAGCAGGTTTTTATATCTGAAATAAATAAATAGAAAATTACCTTCAGACTTAACTTCAACTGGTGGTAGGGGTACTTTTTCAAATAGCTCTTTATAGCTGAGGATTGTTTCCTCGGGTTTACTACGACCTGGTAGTTCCTTTTTGCCAAAAATTAATTCTGTAGCGATAACTTTGGCCAGCCATGGGTCTAAGCGTGGCTCTTTAGTTAAAATACCCGTCGCTTCAAATAGTTTGTCTACATCGCCAGAATGTTTAATTGTTTCCGTTATGAGCGCATATATGACATTAGTTCTCTGTAATAGTTTTTTTTTGTTTGTTTTAGTTAGAGATGTTTTATCAGTAATTCGTAAATGTAATCAATGTAAATAAATGAAATCAGGAATATACTCACGAAAAATCGGAGTTTACTGTCGTATAGCAGGTTTTTCACGCTACCACCTTCAGTGGCTACTTTCTTTACAATATTTGCAGATATTTTGAAATGTCTTGGTACTTTTATCGAGTGCTCAAACATTGTTCATTATTAAGAAACAAAGTTATATTGTCTATTTCAAAATAAATTTGAAATTTCTAGTAGTGAATACTATTCCCAAACTCTTGTTCTTTCTAAAGTAATCACGAGATGAATGTCAACATTGAAAATAACCTAAAAGTTTTCAAGACCCGACAGATTAAAAATTTAAAAATCAATAATGTATATTGACATCCACAGAATGCCTAACTATTTGGATAATGATGACTACTTTTTCGCTTGTCTATGTCTAGAAAATACTTCGTTTTGTACGTTGCTAGTATCCGAAACATATATATTATTTTAATTTACTTACGTACATGTGTGTTTCTCGTTACAAATTTGCTTAAAAATAACAAAAACTGTTTTCATCGAATGACAATACTTGAAGCGACACGTTAATTAGATGACTACGTCATACTCTAATTAATCTTGATACCACAGTTACTTCGGCTGATAAGGGTATATTCAATTTCTTGACTTTAGCTACTGGGGTCGGTTGTTTTGGCCGGCTAGTCAGTGGTTAAACTGGTTGAGGATCCGCCCTTTAGGTTCGGCACCTTCTTTACTACACGTTCTAGTACCTCCCTAGGATATACCAATTAAATATATTATAAATAAAATAAATAAATAAAGCCTTTATTCACTGACCGTTATTGATAAATTTATTCATAAATATTTTGAAAAACCTTAAAATAAACTCTTTAGGTACTAGTTTTATGGTCAGGTTGTCTTAATATGTTATATGACATACGCCTGGCCTGTATATTTTGGTCATTCTGTTCTATCACGGGCAGCCTAGCCCAGGGAGCTTAGTCAAGATGCCTTAATAGTATGTAATGTATGAAGATTGTCGAAAACTGAATTTGTATGCAAATTTGTCGACACGAACTGTCAATTTTATACAAATTTAGTTCATAAGGCATCTTGACTAAGCCCCCAGAACTGAATTAGTAGGAAGGAAGTAAGTAAGATGTTGAATAATTACTATCAATAATTATTATATGTTGGGGGCCAACGTGTGACGTATTATAAAGTACGTCACACGTTAATGGGGAGGAGGGTATCACCGAAGTGTGACATCGTGTGACAAGGGGCATGGGGGGGTCAATACTTTTGTGACGTCACATGTTAAAATTTAAAATACTAAAACGCAAAGTTTGGATGTGAATTAAAAAATTTTAAAATTTTTAATTGAGACACTCAAATTCACGAGAATTTTGAATGGTAAGGATTTAAATAGGTTTAAGTCGTCGGCGAGTGCTCGCTCGCTTTTCTATCGTTCCGCACATCGGTTGTTTGCGCGACCTTCGAAAAGTGCTACCTCACTCGCCGGCGCAGTGACTTCAATACATTCCTTTTGTTTATTTCACGATTGACTTTTGCCGAGTGGCAGTCATAGTCTTCTCAGTTTAATTCCTTTAACATTTTTAATTTATTAAATTATTTTAAAATGAACAAAAAGATTAATTTAGGTAGTCTTTACCGCAGATTATTCGATGCCTATAGTGCAGCCTATGCTGACAAAAAAAAACAAATCATACAAGAAGAAGTTAACGCCTTATGGAAAAGATTAAAAAATAATGATAACGTTGAAGATGAGACAGAATCAAAAATTAAAGAATTACAAGTGAAATTGACCAAAAAAAAGGGGACACTTTTGAGTTTTTTCTCAAAGAATCCTTATAGCAGATATAAAAGAGTGGACCAAAGTCCATGGACACTCGATAATTAAGTTTTTTATCTTTAATTAATATAATTAATCGTTCATTATTTTCTAACTAGTCGTTTGTTTTTTCGGTTTTATGAAATGTTGGACTTTATGTTGATTTTATTAGATTATTATTTAATAAAAATAAGTAAAAAATGAAAATAGCTGTTTTCTCTCAATAATTTTTTAATACATACATAAATTTAAAAAATGTGTGTCGTCACATCAGGAGGGGGATTATAAAAATGTGACAACCTGTGACAAGGACGGGGGAGGGGTTCAAAAGTCCTAAAATTCGTGTGACGTACTTTATGGATGGCCCCTTGGTAGTAATGCATAATAAAAGTGAATGTACTACATTTAATGCAACAAAGCCATTTAAAGGTATAATTTTCCATCTATCTAAAATTATCTTAATATCCAATTTTTGAAGTTATACTTCTTTAGGCGCGTTATGAAAAATTTATGAGAGTGAAATTTTACGATGCGCGCGCACCTGTGACACAAAATTGGGAGTGTGATTATAGCGTGCGCGAGCGAGATAGGAATAAGACAATCTACAAGTAAAAAGAAATAGAATATGCGTGAAGTTCGTATGCCAAGAATTTTGAATGACCATAATGACATTTGTCATTTACCTTTTAAACAAATAAAGGAGTTTTGATTAATTTTTCAAAGAAATTTATTAATTTTATATTGTGAAATACTGCCAAAGCTACAACATACTTCTTAGTGTTTGGTAGAGATGTTCTAAATATATATACTTTTAACTAAATAGAATTTATGTTACACTTAATGTAAGAGAATAATAATAAATAATTATTTATTTAATTTTTCAAATGTAAACTGAACTTAATTGACTATAATGACCCCTTTTCCAGTCTTTGATTATTTAATTGTAATTAATTATTATTTGCATGCAATCAAAAACTATTTTTAATAATGCCAAAGAAGTATAACTTCTTACGCGCGTACATAAGTACACGCACCCTTTTTTTATCCGTATGTACTGTCTGTATTGTGCAAAATACACGAAAGAAATTATAGTAGTAAAGTGTATTAGGTAGTAAGTGTGTTCACATTCGACGCCATTCAGATTTGGGGCATATGTTTTTAAGGACATATAATTTTACATGAAATCATTACTACAAATTGATCGTTTTAAATTAAACAATGTCTACCTAATGAATTTGTTTATCGATCGATACCTATTACTGTCATAGGTGTTACGTCTGTTATCTTGTCAGCTGCCATTGTATTAATAATCAAAAGTTAATCTATAAAACTTAGCTCTGTAGACTTTAACATGTGTCATCTTTCGTTTCCTATGGTTTTTTGGGAAATTTGTAAATATTCAATATTATAATAATTACTAATCTGTGCCATTGAAGAAACTCCTACTTCTTGCACGTAACAAAATCTGTTTTTATTTCTGTTTACTTCGTAAAAATTTTCATTACAGTGAAATATTTAAGTGATTGCTTTTATTAAAAAATAATGTCAATTCTTGATTGGGAGGTAAATATTAAATAGATTCTATTGTTTTGATTTTACAGAAAAAATATTGTTTGTGTAACATCAATGACAGTTTTTCGAATGGCGATTTGTCCCTTAATCAAAATACCAGGAAATGTTATGATTCAATATCGCGTTTTCAATAACATCGATTAACATGTGGCTCATGTGCTTACAGATGCATCCGTAGATTACGGTCGCCTTGGAGAATGTTTTTCAGTGAAAGGTGTTAAAATGTGTCGGGCGTTGTTGTTTGTGTAATAAGTTGAGAAATCATCAAAACAATGGTTCCTGCGCCGAGTTGTCCCTTAAGTTGGGATTATTGGACGTCCACGCCGTCGGATTACGTAGATTTAACGTGTTTGATGCCAAATTCAATTTATTTACCAGTATCAGTTAGCTGGGATGCAACTCTTCAAGATGTTAAGGAGGTTAGTATCTAGTTGAATCATGAATCATTTGGTACTAGATGTGGGTCAAACTATTGTGTAATGTGAACAATGATAAGTGGCTTTGATTTTTAGAAAGTGGAGCATTGTTTACATCACTTACTGCTCACATGCAGCATGAGTGATTATGACACAACTTGTTTACATATTTTTCTAGTAGTTTGTTTTTTTGTAGAAACTACACAAAATATGTAAATGATTTAACAATGGCGAATATTGTATTAATTTAAATAATTTAATTATAAAAATATATGTTTGTTTACAAATTACACATCAAGTTAATATTATTTTTATATTTTGTAAAACTGTAGTTAACATCATTACAATGTGTATTACTTTTGAGTTTACATTAAAAATAGTTATTTAATTTTTACTTAAACACCTTTCAACATACCATTACTGGTTACAAAATTATTAGGAAATATGGGACTTGGCGGGGAAGATGCCACTCTTTGGCATGCTTCGAGAAATGTCTGGTTATGTATTTCAATTCATCAACTCATTGGCTGTTCCTGAAGAAGTTGATGATGAGAATAAGCGTGTTCGGGACATAAGGCCAGTATTTGGAGTACTCATGATAATTGAGAGATCCATAGATAAGCCTGGAGAGACCTTGCTTAACACTCAAATTAGCAGATTAATTGGGAAAGGTATGTTGTAATAATAAGCACTACTCTTGTCTGAGTTTTGATGGGTTGATTAATAATTAATGAATCATAAAATCTTTATTATAAATATGAGACATTGACATTACTATTTTAATTCACATTTTATATTTTATTATGCATAACTTAATTTTATTTTCTAGGTTTAAATGAATTTGATAGTTTAAGAAGTTCTGAAGTAAATGACTTCCGAATGCGAATGAGATGTCTAGCTGAAGAGAGTTTAATGAAGCGTGCCCAGAGCACACCCTTAGACAGATTAAAATACCACTGCCCACCGAGACTGGCTGACAGCCCGTCTGTACCTATTACACTTAATAGCCATTTAAATAATAATTGTTTTATACTTGTCACTAAAGTTGCCAATACAGAGGTGAGTTTTGAGTTTTTATTTGCTTTTTTTAAAAGGTACTGGTTAGCATTTAATATATTTCATATATTTTTGAGTTCAATAACATATCCTAGTATATAAGTTCTCTATGGTTCCTCTATAGATTCTTGTTCATGATTTTCTTCTTCCAATTCTTCTTCATCATTTTCTCCTTCTTCTATCCACTGCTTCATTAAATCATTAGCTTCAGTTCTAAACAAAAGATACAGTTCACATCATGATTTCTAAATTATGTTGATTATTCAACATAGATCTTAAATTGTCTTAAAAATAAATATTATTATAATGAGAAACATAATTAAATGTTTGTCTCATTGCCTGGTGGTAACTGGCTTAATAAAATAACTCACTGATGTTGGTGATATATAGGAAAAAGCTACTAATCATATTAAATTAGCAGTTTTAAAATTACTTTTCCATTATGATATCTCTGGCAATGCTTGCTGAATGCAAAGGAGTTTATTGATAAGTTAAATATTGGTTAATGTAAAAAGGTGAAAATAAAGCACAATTTAACCTAATAAATTTTCTAAATTAAAGTTTCTATATGCAAGAGCCAAGTATAGTTAAATTAAATAATACATTAAATAAAATTAATGTTAAATAATTATTTCTCTAATAATATGAATGTGAGATGGAAAGATATCCTAATGATTAACCAACATATTTTCTGCATTGTTAATTTTGAATACCAAAAAACACAACAATTATACCGTTCCTCTGGAGTTACAGCACCCTTATTTAGTCTTTTTACTCGAGGAAGTGCTGCTAAGACTTCTACTCTCAGTTCAGCATTGTCTTCTTCTTCTGGATTTTCAGCGTCTTCTTCACCAGTCCCTCCCATGTATGGGCATCCCTTTAGAACAAGTATTTCGAGGGCTGTTAGCACCTAGAAGTTTGAATAGGAAATCATATTTTACTTTAAGTTTGAAATGTTATAGGAAATTTATTCATAAATGAACGATTATATTGAAATCTTAATATTTATGGTAATATTAAAGAACTATATGTTACATATACTATTGTTCCTGGTGCCTGGTTGGATTAGAGAGGAACATTAGAACACCAAATCCTGCCGAGATGTGGTAGATCGAAAACTAAAAGGGCCTTTTTAAAGGAACTTTACTTATTAATTAATTTTACTTAATTGAAATAAGGCATCCACTCTCTATGCTCAACACAGACTAGCGATTAGCTTGATACTAACTTGATTTGCGATTATCTTCCTATTTTCTAAACTGCTTACGTGTAATAATTAAATTATTCTATCAGAATCACTCCTGACATTTTACGAACATTTGCCCCTTTTAGATAGGCTTAAATTCAAAGGCTCTTTCATATTCTACACCAAAATATATGTAAAATGTAAATTACTTACCCGTAACTTCTTAACTTGCTTCAACGTAGAAACTTTACAATTACGCAGATTGATGTACTGCAGTTTCTTGTGTTCCGAATCAAATCCATTAAGCGATTTTATGGGGTTATTTCGCACGTGCAAAATTCTTAAATTCTTCAATCTCTCTATTCCGACTAGACTCTTTATTTTATTACCAGCTAAATACAAGCTATCTAAATTAGGAAAATCAATGTATGATATGTCTTCAATAAAATTATATCTGAAATCGAGGCATTTAATGTTTGGCATACGATTTTCGAATTGTATAGTTTTAATTTTATTGTAGCCAACTTCAACGGTACTCATCACTGGTTGGTAGATATCATATACTGACGTTATCAAATTGTTATTAAAAATTATCACTTGCAAGTATTTCATACGTTTTAAATAGCCTGAAGTTAGTTGGTTTTTATCTGCGTGTATTAATAAGAGGAATGGTAATTCTGACAGGACTTGCAAACTCTCTGAATTGATGTTGTTGTTCGATATATCTATGTATTGAAGATGTTTGAAGGTTTTGAACGCCGATAGGTCTGTTAAATTCATGCCGGTACACGATGCTTTTAAGTAGGTGTATCTGAAAATTAAAAAAAAACAGTTTTTATTTTTCACCCATCTGCAATCAGATTTTATGACTGATTAGATGATATTGAGGCAATTAAAATGCAAATACAATGATTTGTTTTCCCTCCGTAAATCGCAAACTATCAAACTACGACAAGTATCGCCCTTCTCATCCGAAACACGCAGTCCGCCGTTTCCAAGAGATCCGACGCTTTGACGTGTTGCTGAGTTATGTATCTATTTATGTGTTATTAGTGGTAATTCCTAAATATTTATGGAGTTCAGCATTTCGTATCAACCACGGCGCACCGCTCATATTTCGCAGTGTTTTGTTTTGTCGCCGCCATTGTATAAAAAGATAAGTAATAATGATTTATGTTGGCTTACACCACGGAATAGATAAAAAGCTAAGACCTGGTCAAGATAGTATATTAAAGGTAGATAGTTTTGTATAAAAACTTCTACAAACCAATAACAACTTCTTTTATAAAGACATACAACAACCACTATTTAAGCCTTGACTTGTTAAGCTATCGCGGAATATGCTTAAAATAAGTATTAAGAATATCCATAGCGCTAAATCACCTGCATCATGAACACATCTCACATACATACTCGTACACTTTCACACCATCACACAGTTTAAAAATGTATTTAAACATTTTTATTGATTTTTTTCTTTCGTAAATGTTTGAACCTTTTTGTATATATGTATTACGTATTCCAGCTTTGGCAATATCTTTAGTATAATTGTTTTTTGTTGTATATAATTTATGTTAGCTGTAGGATTGCGAAATAAATAAACCGTCACTAGTTCTTGTATAAAACCGCTTACTGTATTTCATAGCCATGCAAAACCTATCAAGTTTGTTAAGTTTGATCTCGCTTAGATTGGTTAGAAATGAGGTTGATACATGGCATTGTTCAACCTCATTGCTATTCCATCTTAACCTATTGCGTGGATTTCATTACTCGAAGGTTTCGAACCTTGTTTATTAAAAATTAGAAGATATTGAGAACACGCAGACTGAACTTCGTTCACACTTCATTGGTACATGAACTTTATATTCGAAATAGAGTCCTTGAAATTAAACTCACCCATCACCTGATGCTATCTTTCCTAAGACACCCAATCGTGAGTTTATCTCGCCTTTATTGAGCCGTCTTTCGGGGAACTTGAATACCGGTACCAGTTCCTCGTCAGGGCTTATTTCCCCTACTTGTTCTTCATGATATGCCGGCGATATTGGCTCCTCCTCAATTTCTTCAACTTCGTCTTTTTGCAAATTAAAATGCGATTTTAACATGTTTGCCGTTGATGACAATTACGTCAAGATGACAAAAACTATTTCAGGTGTAATTTTTGAAAAAGTTTTTTTGTAATCAAATTGGTGACAAACGAAGTCAGATTGAAACAGCAAGTCAAAGAATTTTTAATATCTGTGAAATTATTTTTTTTTAGATTTCCTTTAATTACCATAAAGATCTAAATATATTCGATAGCTGCCATTATTAGTTATTTAATGCTATAAAATATTTGGAAACTATAGCTTTAATTATAGTAGTTAATTGAGAATATAAAAAGTCCGTTCAGTAAACACAGAATCGAGAAATTTATTAAAATCAACGCGAAAATGTCTTAGCCAGCGGTTTACTGGACTTTTTTCTTCTCAATTCACAATTCAGAATTTATTTGAGCTTTTAAGCTACCTTAAAAGTTTGGTCATTGCATAATAACAATTCTTAAATTTGTGACTTGGAAACGAGAATCTTAAAATGAGCATAGAGAAATTATTTATTTTAAAATTTTAACCTAAACCTGTTCATAACAGGTAATCGACAATGCCATTATTATGTATTGAGTGTTAAACTGAATAAGTCAGTCTTTACGAACTATTTTTGAACGCGTAAGTGATGAATCTCTCAGCAACTGCGGCACAGCCAGCAATAGTTGCCGTTTCCCATGCCTAGTGTTGTTAATCGATACTAGCAGCCCTCCAACCTCAGAAGAATATATAAATATAAGATAAACATACGCCAAAACAACTGTATTTCATTTGTTTTTAGATCTCATTTACATCTAACGTATCCGTAAACCTGACACCACAGCAACATGTGGATACGATATTTCGTAAGAAAGCGAATTCGCTAAATATGCGAGGAGAACAGCCACGAAATTATGTGTTAAAGGTGTGTGGGAGGGAGGAATACCTCTTAGGAGATTATCCGCTCATACAATTCCTCTACATACAAGACATGCTCGCTAAGGACGGCGTACCTCAGGTCATGACTGTCAGTATGGATAAAATAACTTGTAAGTATTGTTTATTTAGCAAACTAGCGCACCCGACACGTTTGACACGACTGTATACAACATCAATACAAAAAAGTAATCTAAACAATTCTTGAATCCACTTGAAACAAAAAGTTTCTTCAAAATCGGCCCAGCTGTTTAAATATAAACATACGGACAGAAGATTTATAAATATAAAGATGGCAATAAAATTAACAAAGGAAGGATTAATTTTAATTTAAAAAAATACATATGTTATTGGAGTGAATATAATCGGAGCGCTACATTCGAATCTTGGCCTGATCGAGCAGGAACCTCCATCCGGTCCTATTCTAAAATGCTACAGTGTTCATTCAATCCATTCTCAATCAACTAAAAATCACCACAAGACAACTATAATTTACAAACGGGTGCTTAGATACTTTGGCCATATTGCCAAGAGAGAATCACATAGTCTCGACAAGTTGGTAATGGTAGGGAGGAGTGATGGCAGGAGAAGTCAGGGTCAATCGCCTACCCATTGTTCTGACCAGGTAAAGACAATTATGGGTCTCAACATTCCTAATGCACTGAGTCAAGCTATGGATAGAGTGGCATGGAGGCAGCAATTCGATGTATCGCTTAGGGCTTTTCAAGACAATGCATGACTTTCAGTAATAAAGTTACCGAAGAAGACTATAGATACCGGCAAACTTCTTAAGCATTAAACAAGGGAGTGGGGTAAAGTTTGCGCATTGTACACGAATGCGGGACACAAACGTCAACTGATTTACCAATCACGCCATCGTCACTCTACGGCCGCCCTACCAGTGATACCTAAAAATCGCTTCTGCGCCGGCAAGGACATTTGTTCAAGATGTTTGCCGGTATCTGTTGGAAAAAAGCTACTAAATCCATCAAATATTTATAATTTGTCATATCATTTTTCTACCATAGGATGAGATTGAGGACATCGGGACGTGCAAATAAATTATACTATAGAAGAGATGTTTATAAAAGTATATTACAGTGTTATTGACTGTCCAAAAAACTTAAAAGATTAATTGACGTTTTCAGACTGTGATATGCAATACTACGCGCTGCCGGAGAGAAGAAGACTTACATCGGAGCAATCAAACACAATACGGAAGAAAAAGAATCATGAGTCCTCGTGGAAGATTGAACGGAACTACTCTTGTTTGATACAGACTGTTGGAGGACTGAACGTGGATCCAGGGAGACTTGTTGAGGTAGATATTTTATTGATCGTAAAGAACTTTTACGCGAGCTTCTAAAACTTCTTTCAATAAAATGTTATATATCGATTGCCCCGGGGAACAAAGTCGTAAAAGCAAAATCTATTTTTGAAGTTATACTTCTTTAGGCGAGTTATGAAAAATTGATGAGAGTGAAATTTTACGATGCGCGCGCACCGTGACACAAAATTAACAGAATGAAGTTGCCCACGGAAGATGCTACGGCATTGGACATAATTTAAAAACAACATTCGAATAATAATGGAATTTATGTAACACTTAATGTAAGAGAATAATAGTAAATATTTATTTATTGAATTTTTCAAATGTAAACTGAACTTTATTGACTATAATGACTCCTTTTCCCGTCTTTGATTATTTAATTGTAATTAATTATTTGCATGCAATCAAAAACTATTTTAAATAATGCCAAAGAAGTATAACTTCTTACGCGCGTACCTAAGTACACGCACCCTTTTTTTTTTCAGGAAAAATAATAGAAAGTAATGCTATTATTACTATCTTAGTACATTATATATACAGTACATTACAGTAGTATTTATCTAATTAGACTGAAGAGCAAAAGCGTACGAATGTAACACTGTTTAAACATAATTAAGGACGACTTATACCGTAAATTACGACGGTAATTTTGACGAATGTCTAGGACGTAATAATTTATTACCACTCTTTATTTGTTTTTAAACTGTCGCATTAACTTCTATGGTTTTGTTGCGATCTATTTTAGGAAAGTAAAATTAGGTAAACGAGTATTACTAGCATTGTGCACAAAATATACTCTGATTTTTAATTCCGTAGAATTCTGACAGCTATCATTTTTTGACATGTCAGTGATGGCAAACCTTTTTGGCCGGGCACATTTTTCAATTTCAATACGAGTCTATACATACATTTTATTGTTAGTTAATGGACCCATTTTATTAAGTGCGGTGCTCCACAGGTGCTAGAACAGGGGGGGCCAACAACAGGCTCATCTGATGTTAGGTGATACCGCCGCCCATAGACACTCATATTGCCAGAGGGCTCGCAAGTGCGTTGTCGGCCTTTATTAAAGCCTATAAAAATGTATATTAAAGCTTTTATATTACTTACTTTAAGGTTGTATGCCAAGCCGGTATATACCACGGTGGCAAGTCACTTTGTGAACCCCAAAAGACGAAAGTAGCGGTCGTTTCAAAGGAAGGCGAGGCGCAATGGGACGAAGAATTGCAGTTTCCTATAAAAGTGTGTAGTGTTCCGCGAATGGCTAGGCTCTGCTTCGTTATATACGAAATTTCAAAGGCTAAAAATAAACGGAGAGGAAAAGATACAAAGGTATGTGGAGGTTTTAAAATTTCAATTTTTTTTTATAAAAAATGACAGACATCCGATTAAATATAGTAAAGCAGCTACGCACAGTTGAAAATTAGTTAATGGTGTAATAACTGATGTACAGGTCTCCCTAGACTTAGTTCAGGGGCTCCAATATCTGCTAAAAATGTAACTTGTTACTGAATAAAAAAAATTGTTTTTTTTTAAACTGCACTCTCCGAAAAAGTAACATTACTTTATTATATTACTACTCATTAATGTACTATATTGTACTATAATGTTTTATAGTTAATATATTGCAACATAATTGCACTTCACTTAAGTCTGAATTGTTGAAATTTTTTTAAGTAGTACTTCGTATTTTTTTTTGTAACTTAATTCAAAATATGTACAGACTCAGACTGTAAGAACTGAATTTCAGATTTCGATTATTCTTGACATACATATTTTTTGGAAAATAAAGATTTTTGTATGTTTTTGTCTAAAAAGGGGCGTCGTCAGCACGAAAACCCATTTACATTTTGAAACGTTGTTTTCACCTGTTTTATTTTCCTAGTAATTCAGGAAGAAAAGAGAATTCCCGGTTCAAAAAAAAGTTTTATTTATATAAAAAAATCTTTCCAGGACGCAATAAATAGACTAGCGTGGGTTAACACAATGGTATTCGACTACAAAGAACAGTTACGTACTGAGGCCGTGACGTTGTTCATGTGGACGCACGTCGCGGACGAGACGCAGGGCGATGACGTATTGTTACACCCGCTTGGAACTGTACTCGCTAATCCTAATACTGATTCGTGCGCTGCGCTACAAGTCAGATTCTCAAAGTAAGTGACCTTAGCATCCGATATCTGCATATTAATGTTTTTTTTTATTATCTGTAATAATACTACAACTCGCGAGGCGAAAGCGTAACTAGCTAATCAAAAATCCCTCTAGCTAAAACTCTAACGGATGAAAAGCGTAACTAGCTATTTAAATACCTCTCAACCTAAACTCTCATGGATGAAAAGCGTAACTAGCTATTCAAAATCCTCTCATCTAATCAACTCTCACAGATGAAAAGCGTAACTAGCTATTTAAATACATCGCAACTCTCAACCTAAAACTCTCACGGATGAAAAGCGAAAAGCGTAATTAGCTATTTATGAACCTTTCAACAAATCAACTCTCAGGAATAAAAACCGTAACAAGCTATTTAAATACCTCTCAGCTAATCAACTCTCAAGAACTCTCAATTGTATATTGAAAGCAATTGATCGCAAATAAACAGGCTTTATTATTATTGTTTTTTTTTTGCTTAATAATGTAAATAAAATCAATATACTGTTTGATAATATATCTATTAATTATTGCAGCTATGACTGCCAACACCCAATCTTATTCCCGAAGCAAGAAGCCATAAAATCGTATGCCGACCAACTTGAGAACGGAGCGGAAATGGCGCGACTGAATGAAAACTTTGAGAAATTACGAGTCACCGCCGAAAAGGATCCCATGTATGAAATGCACGAGCAAGAAAAGAAGGATATTTGGGCAGCTAGGTGAGTATGTTCAACCGGTAAACGTGGTAATTACCTCATTAGGAAATTTAAAAAAAAAACGTTTTTTATATAGTTACTTTAGAAAACCAAGTGTAGACTGCTAATTTAACATTCGCTTTGCTGGCTCTGACCCAAGATGTGTCTCGGCCTCCGAAACAAGGAACTTCCAGCAGCAAGTCCTCCACTGTCGATTCAGCGGTACCTGGGCCGGCCTTGTGTTCGACAATATGCTTCCTTCATTGCCGAACGGCCTTGCATTCGCCTATATAGTTGGGTTGGGCTACCAATTCGTCTATTTCGGCATTCTTTTGGACTCTCCATGATACTTCTTCCCTTATCGGCACCAGGAATTTATCCAATATCTTAGTTTCTGTTCCTGGTGGTCATTATTTAACGAAAATTGAATTTCTTAAAAAAGGTAAGAAAAGAGCGTCCCAATTTTGAAAAGGCCGACAACGCACTCGCGAGCCTTCTGGTATTGAGAGTGTCCATGCACTAAACATCAAGTGAGCCTCCTGCCCGTTTACCCCCTGTTCTCTATAAAAAGAAGCTTGGCAGGTAACATTAAAACTAAGTGTATTTGAGCGACAGATAGCACCAAATTTTTCTCTTAACTAATTTATTTTGTATTATTTGATCAGAGAGTACTTCCAAACGACGGCCCCAGAGTTGCTGCCCAAGCTGCTCTCGTGCGTCGAATGGACTGAACGGGCAGAGACTGCTCGTGTCGCGAGAATGCTCTCAAATTGGCCAATGTTACGAGTCGAGTCGTCTTTGGAATTATTGGACTATGCCTACGCGGATGCGGCTGTTCGGAGTTTTGCGGTCGAATGTTTGGCTAAGATAAGGTAAGTAATATCGCTATTATAATTCACTTTAGTTATAGAGACTTTTACGCTATCTGGATCCAGGCCATAGAAGTATTTCCGAACAAATTTATTAAAAGGCCGGCAACGCACTTGCGAGTCTTCTGGCAGTGTGAGTATTTATGTATTTATCACTTAAAATCAGTTTATTATTATTTTTATATTAATTGCCAATTTATGAAAGTATATTAAAAACCTCGCTTCGCTAGTAAAAAATAATCCTGTGTGAAATAATAAGTTGTAAAAACTACTACATATAACAAATTAATGATTATCTTATTTGGCAAAGAGAAACTTTGCTTTATTTTTTTTTAATGCGTTTACTATGTAATATATTATGTAATAAATATTTTATGGCCCCTATAAATATATAAATATTCATAAAAACATTGTAATTGCACTGTTATAACAAAATACTATTTTGTCTCTTTCTAACAAATTAATGAAAAGCTGTGATGAAAAGGGACAGACAGACAACTAAAACAGTGTATCTAAAAATATTAACTCTTTTTAAATTTTCTTTACTGATTAAATTTATACCGGCAAGGTGCCTTTATAGCGTCGGAATATTTAGACCATAAGTTTGACAATAATTATAAATAACTTAACTTATTATTATGATATTTAATATGACATTTGCATGCCTATTTTGTATGACTGATTGTGCGAATTTTAATAATTAATCGATCGAAATGTACCACTTTCTTTAATAATACACGGTTTTTTATTATTATTATTTAACGAGGTTAACATTATCATTGCAGCGATGAAGACTTATTATTATATTTATTACAACTAGTGCAAGCATTGAAACACGAATCGTATCTGATGTGTGATCTCGCGAGATTTTTATTGGAACGCGCCTTCAAGAATAGGACTATTGGACACTACCTCTTTTGGCATTTAAGGTTATTAATCGATAAAAAATATGTGTAAAATCTTTAAAAAAAAACTTCATTTAAATTTTTATTATTATTAGACTTTGAACTTCCCTTGCGTATTCTACTAATATTATAAAGAGGAAAGATTTGATTTTTTGTTTGTTTGAAATGAATAGGCTCCGAAACTACTGGACCGATTTCAAAAATTCTTTCACCGTTGGCAAGCTACACTATTCCCGAGTGACATAGGCTGTTTCATTTTCAAAAAATTAGGGATGCTTACTAAAACTTAAATAATCTAACCCAAGGTGTAAAAAAATAAACAAAAAACTTCCTTCAATCGCGTGCGCTGCGAAAACTAGAACTAAAGCAAAATGATGTATTAAAATTTTTCAGGACACATCACTATCTATAAAAAATGTCGCGACAGCATGTCTCTATCTTTTATAGTTACGTCACAATAAGCGTCCTTTTATTATTAATTTTTTATATTAAAATACCACCGCTAGAAAAGGCTCTTTATTCGTACCTAGGTATTGATCCTTATCAAAATAATTACCAACGTGTCACATAAGCTACAATTTAATGGCATAACCACCAAAAAAGCATGGTGGATTGGTGTTCTCCTGCCGTTTCTCTTGAATAGTTTACTACTATGTAATATAACAAAAATCTTAGCCGAGTCTACTAGTTTACTTATATATTGATATGTTTTCAAAGAATCTAGTATCAAATTGGTATATTCTTAAACAGTTTTACCCTTTCGCTCATGTTATTGGTTGTCAAAGACCACTGGACAAAGATCTGCTGATCCATAGCTATCTGTTTTTTTTTAATGAAATTAATTTTAAATTAGGGAGTATGCCAAAGTTTACGTATAGTATATTCTCGTTTAACCGTTACCCGGCAACTATAGATGATAGACATCAGGAAAAACATTACTTTTCTATTACAATTTAAGGGAGAGTAATAATTAACAAAAATATACCTGTTTACACCTGGTAACCCTAATGCTAATAATAATTTAAAAAAACATAAATATTTCCAGAGGTAGAGGTAACTGCGGTATTTTTTTTTATAGGCACCCTATCGCTAATGCATTGCATACTCCATTAAAATTAATTTATAATTAATTTCATCAAAAAAGTTGCCAAAGACAGCGGTGGGAATCTGTATTACTTTACAAAAAGATCGTAGTCACTATTACATTTTTTTTGTGAATACTTTCGGGATACATTTTTGAAGTTATACTTCTTTAGGCGCGTTATGAAAAATTGATGAGAGTGAAATTTTACGATGCGCGCGCACCGTGACACAAAATTAACAAAATGAAGTTGCCCACGGAAGATGTTACGGTAGTGGACATAATTTAAAAACAACATTCGAATAATAATAGAATTTATGTTACACTTAATGTAAGAGAATAATAATAAATATTTATTTATTTAATTTTTCAAATGTAAACTGAACTTTATTGACTATAATGACTCCTTTTCCAGTCTTTGATTATTTAATTGTAATTAATTATTTGCATGCATCAAAAACTCATTTTAATAATGCCAAAGAAGTATAACTTCTTACGCGCGTACATGAAGTACACGCACCCTTATTTTTTTATATCCTCATTGACTAGAAAATTGGTTTCTTTCAAAATTCTGTACAATCGCGAACAGTTAAAAATATATAGGTTTTTTAGACAATTAGACCGGTAAACCGGGCCGTTTAAAACATCTCCCAAAATACATATATGTATAATTGCAGATCAGAAATGCACGTTCCGTCCGTATGCGTTCGTTTCGGGCTCGTATTGGAGGCGTACTGTCGCGGCTGTCAAGATCACATCAGCACACTGACGAGACAGATCACATGCCTCGATAAACTTAAATGTAAGTATTGTTTGTGTTTTCTGTGATCCTTTAAAAAAAACAAAATATCTTTAATTCATATAGGTTTTAATGAGCGTACACAAAAAAAGTAAAACTAATTCTCAAATCAAAGGAGAAGAACGGACGATGAGATATTACAAACTATTGAATTGTTGAAAATAAAATAAATAAGCAATAAAAAACGATGTTATATTTCATGAGTTAATTTTAAAAGTTCAGTTTAAAATGCTACGCCCCATGTTGCTCAGAATATATTATTTACTTTATATTGGTTACTTTCACTTTCCTAAAAAAAAAAAAAAAAAAAAATGTATTTATTTGTTATAGCTTGATATGCATTACAATGTATACGATTTGGGAACTCTTTTAAGTAAAAAATACCTTTTTATTTTATTGTTGGGAAATCAATTTACTGACCCCCGCGCCGGGGCAACGATTTAAAAGTGACGCAGGGAGTGTGGGAGTCAGTCCGTATGGTGCAATGGACACCTACCCACTAAAACCCAACAGCCCCATCTGTTCGCTATGGACGGTAGGCGCGGTAACAGTTTCCCTTAATCCGTGCCTCCGTCATGAGCGTCTGCTGTGTGAGCACAACTTCTGCGTTGCCCAATTCTGTGCTAAGGGCATAGTGGAGTACGTGCGTAATCGCGACATCTCCTTCCAGGCCTTTTTTTGCGTTGAGGGTCGGCATCTGGGTTACACTCCCGAACCCTCTCCGCATTCTCTTTAAGTGTAATGACGGCCTCACAGAACGCTTTGAAAGTGTTCCACGGGCCGTCACTGTCAGCCTCCATCATAGCTTTCACTATAACTGGAAGCGACAGATCCAATCCGAAGGTGGCGGTTAATAAACTACGCTCAGAGCTCCACGCCGGACAAACCTCTAAAGTGTGTTGCGCTGTGTCGTCTGCGAAACCACACTCGTGACAAATGGGGATGCCTCCCTCCTGGCAACCCTGTGAAGGTATCCACCGAAACATCCATGGCCTGTGAGGACCTGAACGAGTCGGTACGAGAGTGCCCCCCATCTTCTATTTACCCACAAGTTGAGCACTGGACGTATAGATGTAATTGTCCAGACTCCTGCCCTGTGATCTTGTAACTCATCCATCCATTTCTGAAGGATGGTCACTTGGGCTTCCCGTCTCCAACTGTTTATGTGCTCAGGAAGGGGGTCGAAACCCCTACTTCTGCTATCTGCCCTATGCCAATAGATCTTGGCTAGGGCAGCCGCTTCGAGGTGCCAGGGGCAGTTCCTGCAATAACACACGCTGCCTCGCAAGAGACGGTGCGGTACGCCCTTGCCACCCTTATGGCCATCGCCCGTTGCGACTGTCTCAGAATCGCCCTGTTTTGAGCGAATAGACAATCGGCCCAAATGGGGCATCCGTAGAGGGCCTTCGCCCGGACCACACCTGCAAATAACCGGCGACACCCCGGACTCGGCCCACCAAGATTTGGCATTAACCGGCAGAGTGCCATAGCCGTGGTAGCGAGCTTCGGGGCAAGTAAAAAAAAAAAAAAAAAAAATACCTGTCCCAGCTCTCCCATAACAAACTTATACATACTTAATTCCATAATATTTTTTATTATTCCAATTTTGTTTTCTTTTTAACTGATGCAATTTTTTTCTGTTTTCTTACCTTAGGGAGCGTTCAAGTATTACTTAACGTATTTTGAGAGGACCCCCCTCTTGTAAAACGTTACGATGCGGGGCGGGGATTAAATTACGCGTTATTGTTAATATTTTTTTTCGACTTGTAAGTCCACATAATAGTAACTAAAGAGTAACTAGGTGATCACGAAACGTTTAACTATACTTGGGTACTGAAAAACGTTACGGCGAGTTATGGGGGGGTTCAATAATCTCCAAAAATTGCGTTACGTAATACTTGAACGCTCCCTTACATAAGGCGAATTAAATTTGGGTCTTTGGGTTGGGACAAAAAAAAGTGTGGTTAATGATACTTATACAAATCAGTGGCGCTAAAAGCTTTGTAGGTTTGGGCCTCAGATTTCTGTTTTTGTTTCAATTATAAATAAAATAAAATAAAATAAATAAATTTTTATTTTATTATTTATTTATTATTTATCTCAATAACAGTTTTTAACAAATTTATAATGTTAACACTGTAATATATATTTAATTTTAATTTTTTATAATATCTTATGCAGGGGTTAGTCAAGCGATTCGCAAAAAGAAGGAAATATCAAAAGCCCGTGCGGCGCTTCACATACATTTGCAAGAAGAACATTGTATGGAGCAGTTATGTGATTTTGCGTCACCTTTAACTCCTAGTCTTGTTTGTAAACGGATCAAGTAAGTTTCTGATATAATTTTAAAAAATCTTGTTCGCTTAAAATATATATATATACTAGCTGACCCGGCAAACGTCGCTTTGCCATGTATATGTTACCGTAAAATTGTAAACACCGTTAGATTGTAATCTATCTCGTGAGATTGTAAACTGTCGAAAGATTGTGAACCTCAACGAACTGCTTACAATTTAACGTATTATTATTCGGTAGATTGTAATCTATCGAAGTGAAACCGTCAAATTGTGATACGGATCGCACCTCGCGCGCTGATTGGTTGAACGGAATATGCCCCGCGCCACCATATTTGTTTGTTAATTCGTTTGTTGTCGAATGTAAATTGATTGTTTTGATGAATGTAAATTGATTTCGTCTTGAATTGAAAGAAAATCTCAAAAAGTTTTCTCTTTAATTTCCAACACTGAACTTAGTTATCATTGAAATTGTTGGGAATTAAAATTAATCTTGATTGACCAAAGAAGTTTGAATGATAACTAAGTCTAAAGCTGTGGGTTAAATTAAATGAAAGAAAATTTCATTACTTTTACAACACGAACAACAAGTGTGGTGGCGCGGGGCATATTCCGTTCAACCAATCAGCGCGCGAGGTGCGATCCGTTTACAATTTGACGGTTTCACTTCGATAGATTACAATCTACCGAATAATAATACGTTAAATTGTAAGCAGTACGCTGAGGTTCACAATCTTTCGACAGTTTATAATCTCGCGAGATAAATTACAATCTAACGGTGTTTACAATTTTACGTTAACATATATAATTTCTAAGAAACATTTTTTTAGTTCAATAAAAGTAACTAGCTACTATAATAATAAATAGGGGTTAATCGTAGAGGGGTGAAAATTTAGGGTTGTATTTATTTTTTAATGGCACATTTAAAAAAAATTTAAATTTAAATTTGGTCCAAAAATTAAAAATAAAATGTTAGGGGTGGACAACCCTTATCACTTAGGGGTATGAAAAATAGATAGTAGCCGATTCTCAGACCTACTGAATATGCATATAAAATTTGATAAAAATCGGTTGAGCCGTTTCGGAGGAGTATGGTAACTAACATTGTGACACGACAATTTTATATATCAGATATTCGCTCAATTTCTAAATTGGCATTTTGTTTATTGCACATACAGGAATTTCTGCATTATGAACCATTTTGCGGTAAATTCATTGTTGTCAATAATAATTTGTTCTACGAAATTAAACAACTGGGATTTGGAATTTGAATAACTTACTGGAAAAATAAATAGTTAAATATTATTATATTTAAAACTATGAATACAAAGAGGATATGACATTTGGTAATACTTAAAGTGTTTATTTAATTTAATTATTTAATGTACAATTTTCAGACCCGACAGATGTACAGTAAAGGACAGTAAAATGCGACCCCTGTTACTAGAGTTTGAAAACGTGGATCCGACGGGAACAGATATTAGGATTATTCTGAAAATTGGGGATGACCTACGCCAGGATATGTTTACTCTGCAAATGCTCAGAATTATGGATAGGATTTGGAAGAACGCCGGGTATGATTTTAGGTAAGAAAATTTTTTTTGCTTAGTCTAATTTAATTTCTGAATCACCTTAATCAAATATATGACTAAAATGAAATAATAATTACTAAAATGTTATGTTTATTTTTTTAATAACTGGGTAGACAGAATTTTTAAGCAAAGACGGTGAAATATTGATTAGTTCTCTGTTACTATTTAAAAACTTCTAAACATTTTGATTTATACACTGTTAAACTTTTTTTTAATATTATATAAGACAACTCAGACCAATTGAATAGCCCCATTGCTAAGCTGTGAAGCTTGTATTTGGGTCTACAGCGGATAGACATACATATTATAGATAGATACAGCATATAAATACATATTTAAACACCCGTAGACCTAAGCACATCACCAAATGCTTCACTATGTTCGTCACAGCCGGGGATCGAACCCGGGACCCATGGATTCGCAGTCAGGGGTACTAACCACTAGACCAATGAGTCGTCTCCTTGAAACATTCATCTAACTCCAAACACCAAAATAGATCCAAACACTTAAAATTTTATACAAAAATAATTATTTTTTTGCGTGATGAATGATGAATTTGCGTTGCCGGCCTTTAAGTTTTGCAATGGGATAGTGCATAATAACTTTTGTTTTCTTTCTTATTCTGTACTTCTTATCTTGTCCTTTAGTTTTAAATTTAGTACACTACGTCAACAATGACAAGTTGTTATTTTTTGTTTGTGTATTATTTACAAATGAGAAAAAATAAATCACTCAGTAGTTTTATTGTTTTATTGAAAAATATTTTTTTATTTATTCATCAATCGATTTTCACGCTTAAGTACCCTCTCACGAGCACACATATTTAATGCTGCAATTAGACAAATTTATTACTAAAAAGAGAGTGATATTTGTAACAAGCGCACATCAAAGAAAAGACTATATCTGTCAGAAAGAAATTCCTTTTAACAGTAAGACCGCCATTTACATCCAGTCTTCATTTATTTAATCTTATTTCTCCTGTTATTGTGATGTAAAGTGCTATTATTATTATATTGGTTCGTCTAGGAGTTTAACTCGACTCTCATTTCGGTCGAAGTCATGTCTTGTAGTCCAATAAAGATTATTCTTATTTTATGCGCGATTAAAACGCAATTGTCAGTCGCAGATGGCTGATCATCTGGTCTAAGAAAATCACCAAACAGATCCACTAGGATGCCAAGTTAAATGTATAAAGAACTTTATTTATCATTACAAAAAGGAGTCAATAAACACGAGAAACTTAATATGTATAATTTATGCCATCAGCCGTCCCAATTTTACTCAAGGCTCTTTCTGATCTTTAATGCCCTTTTGAATTGGTTAAACGCGCTAATAAATTAAATAATTGCACACCCTCATACCTAATAGACTTCTTCAAATAATTTGTACGCGGCTTCGGCAAGATAAGCAATCAGTTTATAAGCGATAAGTTTGCAGCACCAATTCTAAAGTTTCTGATGTTTTCCTAACAGATTGAACCCGTACAACTGTATATCAATGGAGTACGCAGTAGGTATGATAGAAGTCGTAGAGGAAGCGGAGACAGTCGCCAACATTCAGAAGCAGAGCGCGCTTTTCAACGCAGCCTCCACTATATCCAAGGCTAATCTATTTCGTGAGTTTGTGTTATCTATATATAAAACCTTTTTGTATGTTAAGGATACAGTAATCCCTGCTGACAGGGTAGACTGGTTCCGCGTTATAGAAAACGCGTTGTAGGTGTTAGCGTTATGTACAAGGGATTTAATTTTCTATTATTAAGAAGAATTTAAATGAATATTATGAAATTTATATGTGCGTACAAATCATTATAAATGTCACAGTACAGAAATATAACGTGGGACTCCCGTGTTGGGGATACCGAGGGACTGAAATCGCGTAATATGAAAATGCGTTATAAGAGTACCGTGTTATAAGGGGGTTTACGTATTATCAAAAATGGACCGATTTCACTTCAATTTCATAAGTTCCTAATACGAATATTTAATTAATTTCCGAAATATAAAAAAATATAGTTATTATGGAAAACTAAATAGTTTTGTATATACTTAACTTAGCATATTCTAATTAATTTAAAAAAAATATTGATATTAATCCGGTGCAGATTTTAATACAGAAATTTATAATGTCGAGTTTAAATATATAATTTATTCTTTAAGAGTTTTATAAACCTAAGGTCACCATAAGGTATCATAATGTTCAATTCTAATTGAACATTATTCCATTCTTTATAACATACAATTTTCTTTTTAAAGAATGGCTCCGGAAACAAAATCAAAGTGAGAGTGCGTTGAATAAAGCGGTTGAAGAGTTTACTATGAGTTGTGCGGGTTACTGTGTCGCGACCTATGTGTTGGGCATTGCGGACCGACATCCAGACAACATTATGGTTAAAAAGACTGGACAGGTATGTAGAACGAATCTTAATGATAAAGTCTGCGAAGTTTTTCTAAAGTTTTTTTGAAATATTTCTTATAAATGTTCTAAAAGTAATATTATATACCGATTCTGATTATATCTTTCGCCAAAAATTTTTCTACATTTGTTTAAATGATTGAATATATATGATTTTTGAAGTGAAACTTCTTTATCGAGGTTGGAAAAAAATTTAGTGTAACATTTTTTCGTTACGCGTCACATTTTTCGGTTACGCGCCATGTTGCTTTTTGATGTCAAACTTCTTTATCGGCGTTGGAATGAAACTTCTTTATCGACGTATGGGAGAAATTTTGTAGCAAATCGTCACGTTTTTCAATGATAGTAATAATTCTATTACAATTAATGAAATTCTATAATAATCTTCGTAGTAATAAGGTAAAATGAAATATTTGTATTCATGTCTATGATAATAAAAGCCTTTTGTTAAACTTTATCTAATTTAACGAATTTCTGTAAAGTTGCATATAGTAGATCATTTTTCGAAAAATAAGATCATAAAGAAGTTTCACTTCTTACGTGTGTACACCTAGTACACGCACAATTTATTTTTTTTACTCTGGAAGGTCACAGACTATACAACATTTAATATACTATAGAAAAGTATAGGATATACTCTGCCTCATTCTATTGCGAAATTGTTATTGTATTCGGTTGCACAATAAATATTCTAAAACAGACATCTAATTGCTGTTGCTCAAAAACAAGAGAAGTTACGAATATGCAAAAAATATGATACAATAAAATAAAGTTAAGTTGGACCCGCAATTATTAAAAAAAAATTTAATCGCTTGTGTAATTATCGTTGATAGAAAATGTCAGGTTTGAGTGCCTGTGTGTTGGTATTAGTTTTTATGTCTTAAAAACGAATTCAAAACAAGATAGTAACGTAAATCTAGCTTTACGACTTAATTTGAATAAATTACAATTACTCTTTTTATACTTGGGTGGTTAAATAATAAAATAATCGTTTTGACGGTCATGTTAACTCCCTAATATTGTACTGGGATTGTTTATTGTATTCAATAATAATTTATTTGCAAGAATAGGGTACAAAATAGTATGGTGGTACAATCTAATCTTGCATATTCTGCTACTCAGGCGCGCAAATTTGTCTTAAAAGCTAGAATTTTACAAAAAGTTACTTATTACATTATCTTTAGATCTTAGATCTTGAAGAAGATGTTTTTGGTAAATTATTATAAAACTTTGATTGCCATACAATATTCTGATACCTTCACTACGGGTCTAAGTATGGCGTATATGTCATTACCTTTTGTGTGTTGCAAATAAATGTTTCAAAGTATTAAATAAATAGTTTTGATACTTTACCAAATTTGACTATTAAAAAATTCCTTTCAGCTATTCCATATAGATTTCGGCCACTTCCTAGGACATTTTAAACAGAAGTATGGGTTTAAACGCGAAAGAGTACCGTTCGTACTAACTCACGACTTCATTCACGTGATTAATAAGGGGCAGAGGGGCGGTGTTGGAGAACAGTTGGATTTCAAGATATTCAAAGAGCTTTGTGAAACTGTAAGTATTTTTTAATTTAAAATATTTATAAAGTCTACTTATGTAATAATCAATATTAGACGAGTCATTGGTCTAGTGGTTAGTACCCCTGACTGCGAATCCATGGGTCCCGGGTTCGATCCCCGGCTGAGACGACCATCGATGTGATGAGTATTTGGTGTTGTGCTTAGGTCTTGGGTGTTTAAATATCTATAATGTATGTATATCCGTTGCCTAGTACCCATAACACAAGCTTCACCAGCTTAGCATGGGACTAGGTCAATTGGTGTGAATTGTCTTTAAAAAAAAAATATATATATACATGATAAAAGAGATGAGAACTTGGAGAATCTGATCGTGGTTGGTCACAGAAGGCAAAAGATCACGTGGCCGTTCATCAACCAGGTGGATTGATCAAGTGAAAGACTCATTGTCCTCAAAACTGTGCACTGCCATAAGAGAGGCGCTGGACAGAAACCGGTGGAAACATATAGTCCGCTCCAGATGCTACCTTGCTGATCACGACGCTCAGAAATAAACTCCCGATTAAAGAGAGACATGTAGATAATATATACAACCATTGGCCTAACAATTGTTTTAAATCTTCATTACACAGATCTCATCTTCTGAACTGGCGAGAATCTTTTAACCACTATTTTCTCTTCTATTCTAGATGTTGATTTTTCTAAAGTAAACAATTCGCTAATACGACTTCTTAAGAAAAAAAATGTTAAAAAGTTTTGATGTTGTAATGTTAAAAAAATATTTTCATATATATTTTTCGAGCACAATGCCGCGAAGAACGCGCTAAACTCCAAAGTTGTGAATTTTGATACGATTTTCGCCAATAAATTAAGGAAATGAGCAAACCGTGATGGTTTTATAGCAATTGATTGATATATCAAGATTGACACGAAATTCACGCAGGCGCAAGCAGAGCTCTTAAAGAACATACAAATAAAAAAATAAAAATCAGTGGCGCTACATCCTTTTTGGGTCTGGGCCTCAGATTTCTGAATCTGTTTCATAATCATTTGTCTTATAGCCAAGTAGATCAGCCTTCTGTGCCTGACACGCCATCGACTTTTTGGGTCTAAGGCAAGACGGTTGTCGCACGCTGAAGTCGCTAGGCCAACGCTGCCCTCTAATAAAGTACATAGACATTATGACATATTTAAACAAAATCATTCTTAATGCACCTTTTTACTACAACTCTATTGTCTCTATCTATCGAATTGTTTTTACGTTGCGTTGAAAAGAGACGAGAGTACTTTTGTCAATACTTTTTAGGTGCAATTAGATTTTCGTTTATAACACTAAAAATTACTAGTAAATCTAAACTGTAATAATATTTTTGGAAAACGTATGATTACCATAATTGTCATGTAATTTAGAAAAAATAGTTTTAACATATACTGTAGATATAGCGTTTTATACGATGTGGTAAACTTTAATGAATAAAATATGTTATTATTTTAATTAAAAATGTTTTAAATCATAAAATATAAAGTGTATCAAATTAACTGATGTGTTGCAGGCCTTCAAAATACTCAGGAAACACGGTCATCTGATACTGTCTCTGTTCTCAATGATGATATCCACTGGCCTTCCGGAACTCAGCTCCGAAAAGGATCTTCAGTATTTGAGAGAGACTTTGGTAAGAACTATCAAATTTCTATATTCTAAAATAGTTTTTTTTTAATGGCTCTGGCACGATTTGTGCATTAGCCAGCGTCAAGTATAGGATTTTTTATAATTCGTGCTTGTCTTTAGAAATTCGACCCTGTCCTCCATGTACGGTTTAAGCACTCGCCCGGTACCGCACAACCCTCCCAAAGGCCGAGAACAAATTTAAATTAAATTAAAATTTGCCCTCGAACCGGGAATCGAACCCGGTACCCCTCACCTAGCTGCTACTTAATAAGACCGCTAGGCTATGAGGCCCCTATTAGTTAGTTATTTTTCAAAATCAACTGCATAGCGTATTTTCAAAGCTAAGATGTTGAGAATTGGTTATTAACTCGGTTTTAATCGAAGGTTTAAATTAAGAAACGTCTAAAAAAAATTATCAAAGACATTAAAGCCTTTACCGGGCTTACCCTTAAAGGCCCTTTTCACATGTATCCGGTCCGTGCAACCGTGCTAGCTCTTTCTCATGTATACGGTTTACACACGGTCGCCGGCTATGGTGGCTATGGTAGTCGCAGTATTATTGAGAATTTTGGGGAACGACAACGTCTTTTATCATGGAACAAAAAAAGATAGCCTTACTCCTATTGTATCGACGTCGTCAGCGTCGACTTCATTACATACGTCAGAGAATATATTGGATACATCCGGACATACTTCTTTTCACGCTTCTTTTGTCTACCCATAAAGTAGGACGCGCTTCAACTAGCGAGATCACACAACATCGATTTCGACAGACATTCTGCAACAATCGTCCGTCCGTTCCCCTATGATTTGCCTGTCGAATGGCATTTGCGCTCGCAATGCCGTACCGCGCTCGTGTTCATGTGAACGCGTCTATACAAGTCCATACAAGACTATAAAGACGGTTGCCGCGTCAAAACCGTGCTTATAGTGGATAAGGACGGCTGACACACGGTCACGGCACTGTCGCCGGGCCATGTGAAAGTTCCTCATTGTTGGTCATATATTACTACTACACGGCGACCGTACCGTGGCCGTGTGTATATGAAAAGGGCCAAAGGGTGAGATTTAGAAACAAGATTACGTACTATAACCCCATGTGTCAAAATACAATATATTTGGACGTATGGGAGACGGACTTAGCGCTTAGTTTCGTGTCCGAAGCTTACCCTAAGCATGCGCTCTGGGGTATAGAGCAGATATATTATTTCTGCGTCCGTTTCTTCTGTTATAAGTATTGTAACAATATGTGTAAATTATATGAATTCACAATTTATTATTATGAACACAGTAATATATTAATAGGAAATATATGCATTTTTGTATGTTTGTAACGAATAAACTTTACCACTGGCTGGACTCGTTTCAAATCAATAGAATGCTACATTTAGAAAAACACTCTTTTTTCACTTTTTTTAGAATGCTATATTATTTATATTATATTAATATGTTAATTTAATCTTAAATTTGTAATGCGAATAGTATTCAACCATTTGCATATATTGATAAGTATGCTAATTAATGATCAAATACTTGTATATTATCTATAAAAAGATTAACTTCGAAATCAGAATATCAGATGAGCAAGTTATATATTTTTCTCGACCAGTCTAAGTGGCCCAAGTGGTATTTAAAACTAATCTAATTTACTTAAAAAGATGTTTAACATAAAAATCTGTTAAATAACACATACAGTCTCTAATAAGGGAAAGTCACTCTGTTCTTGTGTAAATAAAAACGTTATAATGATTTTTGAAGTGAAACTTCTTTATCGAGGTTGGAAAAAAATTTAGTGTAACATTTTTTCGTTACGCGTCATATTTTTCGGTTACGCGCCATGTTGCTTTTTGAAGTCAAACTTCTTTATCGGCGTTGGAATGAAACTTCTTTATCGACGTATGGGAGAAATTTTGTAGCAAATCGTCACGTTTTTCAATGATAGTAATAATTCTATTACAATTAATGAAATTCTATAATACTCTTCGTAGTTATTAGGTAAAATGAAATATTTGTATTCATGTCTATGATAATAAAAGCCTTTTGTTAAACTTTATCTAATTTAACGAATTTCTGTAAAGTTGCATATAGTAGATCATTTTTCGAAAAATAAGATCATAAAGAAGTTTCACTTCTTACGTATGTACACCTAGTACACGCACAATTTATTAATTATTTTTATTTGTTAATAACAGGTGATGGATCTATCCGAAGAAAAGGCGATAGAGCACTTTCGTATGAAGTTCGTGGAGGCGCAAAAGAACTCATGGACCACGTCCTTCAACTGGGCATTCCACAACTTCGACAAGAACAACTGACAGTGATCCGTGCGACGGCTGAAGAAACAGCCGTCCAAGTACACGCCACAGACTTTGTAAGAGTGCAGTGATCAAAACTTGTTCTTCGAATTCAAAATGAATACCATGAAATAGTTTGTCATATTAAAACGCGTATTTATAACATGTAATGTAATCAAATCAACAATTAAATTACATTTAATTCAGCTGGACGCTTAAATTGCGTTTTTTTTATGCATTTAAATACAGGAAATTAATTAGTATGTAAATATAAATCGGTATCGTTATACTAAATGATTATAAATTTGATTTTGCATAGATAAACGCGTTTTAATTCGACATACATTATCGTACTTGAATTCTTCATACAAGAATTGCGTAAAGAGCAAATACAATTAATTTTTCATTGATTATTTTTCCCCCCCCCCCCCCCCCCCAAAAAAACCCCCCCCCCCCCCCCCCCGGGCCCCCCCCCCCTTTTTTTTAAACTTTTTTTTTTTTTTTTTTCTTTTTTTTTTCCTCCCCAAAAAAAAAAAATATTTTTTTTTTTTTTTTTTTTTTTTTTTTTTTTTTTTTTTTTCCCCCCCCCCCCCCTTCCCTTTTTTTCCCCCTCTTTTGGGGGGGGTAGGTCAACCCCCCCCCCCCCCCCCCCCCCCCCGGGTTTTCTTTTTTTTTTTTTTTTTTTCTTTTCCCCCCCCCCGCGGCCGGCCCCCCCCCCCCCCCCTTTTTTTTTTTTTTTTTTTTTTTTTTTTTTTCCTCTCTTCTTTTCTTTTTTTTTTTTTTTTTTTTTTTTTTTATTGAAAATTGTCAAAGGTGATTATTAGTCTCATTGAAATAGCAGCCTTATCATGATGTATTAAGGTGCATTACGTAACCCAAAATATTGGCTTAAGACTTAATGGACTTGTAAATGGTATATTACTCATATATTTGCATTATATCTAATCGATTTTAGTTTTCTGCAACCAATTTTTTGTTACGTTATTTAATAAGTTATATTTTTTTCATTGCGACTTTTTCTATCTCGATTACCTTTGCTATAGCCCAGTGTTTCCCAACCTTTTTGTGCCATGCCCCACCTTAGCTTTTCTAAAATTCTTATGACTATATGTAACATATATCATTTTTGATATCTAATGAATTGCTAAACTTAAATAATAGTTTTTAGGAGCAAATTATTTACGAAACACACTAGACTTTAAAAATTATATTACAAGTAATTATTTTAAAACTTATAAATTTTCGAACAGCCCCTTAATTATCAAATTGCCCCCCTGTGGGGCGTGGACCTCCCGTTGAGGAACATTGCTGTACACACTTAATATATTGTTTAAGTAAATCCAAAAATAATTTAAACTATACAATCGCATAGTAATAATAAAGAAAGACGAGCATTCGAGTAAACTACACCACTTCACGTTTGTTTGTTATTCCTCCGTACCCCAAGCTAAGAATATTATAAATTTAAATAGGCTTTAAAACATCACGCGATATAACATTAGTGACCAAAATTAGTATTTTATTATGTCCATGAAGTATTTTATATTTTCGAACTGTATTACGAGAAAAGATTTTTTAAACTTCATATGAATTTGTACGGACTTGAATATTCCTCAGCAAATGTTGACATTTAAAATATTTGTAGATACAAGAAACTAAAAACTGGTTGCAGAATTTAATATAGAAGAAATTAATACTGGTTATTGAATAGGGTACTATTAATATTGCCTACATTTTAATATCTTAGCTTTACGCGTGCCAAATAAAACTTTTTTGACGGATACGTGAATTTATTAGAAGATCGATAAAGATAATAAAAGCAATCGTAACGATTTATATTAAAAAATTCTCCGTTAAAAATGTTTTATTTAAAAATAAACATTGTAAATTGATAATGGAGTTACTGATATTATAAATTTAGCCACACAAACAAATTAATCAAGTAAATCAATTTTACGTTTCACCAACTACAAATTCTAAGAATAGTGGGATTATTCGGGAAATAGCTACTATACCGCCGTTTCGCACGGAATAACAGCTATTCCTAGAATAATTTAATGGCGTCATCAGTCCAATCATATTTCTGTCATTTCACAAATATGTATTCTGTGTTTTAATTTCAATCACCAACCCTTATTAATAGTCTGGTATTGTATAATGAAAGTTTAAACAATTTATTATTTATTTTTAGATTTTTTATTTTCTATAATATTAGAATGAAATTCAACTAGTCTCAACAGAAGTTCCTTTTTAGACGAAAGCCTCAAACAAACAAGAAATAAAAACTTTTTGTTGTCGTTTGACACCTGTTAAAAGCTACTTTTTCACTCTATAATACGGCAAAATCGAGTTGACATGATGTATGCTCTTACACTGTCCCGTTGTAGAACAACATTTATTTGCCGAGTTTTATTTTCGTTCACCATTCTCTTGCTATTCGCGTATTGTTATTCCTAGCCAATTATACTATCGATTACTGGACAAACGACTTTGGATTTACTCGAGATTAAAATCATGGAATAGATTATTCTTGGTATAGTTACTCGTGTATAAATTGAAGTTTGGTCGAATCGACCCTAATTGGTACAAAATAGTGTTCCGTTTAAGCTAAATAAAAATCACATCGTGAATTATCAGTACAAATTTCGACATAAGACCGAAAAGAAAACGTAGGAGCATAAATCGGTAAAAGTACGAATCGCGTAGCTCTGGACGAAATTTATATACAGAGAAAATGGTATAAAATATAACATTATATAAAAATCACTTAATTTTACGGTCGACTTGTGACCATGCACGTAAAACGTGAAACGCAGGGACACGTGTATGACAGGTGTATTTTAATGATGAGCTATAAACAGCTGAAGAGAGAAAGTACTTTTAACGCTCGAATCGTCTGGTCGTTCTAGCGTATCGATTGGAAATGATAGACTTGATATACTAGCGACCCGATATCGGGTAGACCGGAATTTACGGAACCTACCAAAACCATGACAAATTCTTCTATTGTGGTTTTTATATTTAGTAAGTGGTTGTTAGTAGTAAAATACAATTTAAATTGATTTTGTTCTGGAATATTCTACAACTCATCAGCGAGAGGAATCAGGATTTTAACATAAAAAGGTTCCTTAAGTAAAATTGTCGGTTCAATTGAAAAATTTAATATAATCGGAACACTAGTTTGGACGACAGCTATAGACTCGTTTATTATAATAAGGTTTTACCATTCGTAATTGCTACGAGCCGTCGCTTTCGGTATTCATATCGTGTTAGACAAATATATATAAAGGTTGGAATTTCGAGCAGAGGTGGTGTGTGGCAGACATTTTGGCTGTGATATGCACGTCTGTTTTAAATAAATCTCGGTTTGAAGACGGTGTTTCGATATTTTTAGGTATTTAGATGTAATTGAGCGAATGCTTGGTAGCTTTAGGTGCTTGTATACTCAATATATTTAAATTTTTAATGGAGGTGTTTCTGCCACCATCACTCTCTGTTTAATGCATGAGTTGTTCAGTAGCTTTTCTAATATCTAGTTTTAGTTATTCGTAGAGGTCTTAGGATCAAGAAAAGAGCGTACCCATTGTTAAGAGGCCGCCAATTCACTCGCGAGAGCACTGTGTATATGGCGCTATCTCTTGGCATCAGCTGAGCCTCCTGGTAGTTTACCCCCTCTTCTATAAAGAAAATTGAAATGGGCATGGTTCGTGTCAGGCAAAGGCCTCTATGCAAAAATTAGTCGGCCCCATAGTGTTAGTGTAGCAGTATTATAATGTAGGGTTTTTTTGTATAATGTCTGACTACCTCATGGTGTCGTGTACTGAACTTAGGTTTATTTGTACACAAGCGATCAAATGAAGCGCGTTAGCTGTATTAGCCAGCCAGTGGGATTTGTGTATTCAAACATCAGTTTGTCATTTACATATTATAATATAGATCTCGGCACGTGGGGAAAGCTAGCACAAGAGAATAATATTTACCCGGAGATTCAGACACGAAATCTAGCCTTAACAATTCCGTATTTGATTTTCACGGGAGTCATAATTCGTGCAAAGTCTCATTTCTGAATCTCAGCCTTAGATTCGTGGCTAAGTGTGACTCTCGTATGTCAGAAACGTTTGGGATTTGACATCAGAGCTAACTGTTCTGTCAAAATCCTATAACCATTTGACAGATGGCATTCTTAGTTTGCACGTAAATTTGTCACGTTGTAAATTGCCAACTTACGTGCCGGGAACTATACGACAATAACAATTTAAGATTAACAACTGCCAATTTAAGTTTAAGTTAAGCATTTTCATAACTTGCTTGAGATTTCTAAGTTACTAAAGTAAAGTTGATACAAAATGTTCTCCATTCTCTTATGCAGTCTGAGCTAAAAAATATTAATTGATTTTATATTAAAGTGTTTGAATGTTGAACCGAAAATAATAACATCAGCAATTAATTATCAATTAATATTAAATTGCTACGATGAAATGATAATTTCACCATATTTTTTAATAATACGAAATTAAGATTTTTGTGCATCGAATACTGTTAATAGTCAAATTGTTAACTTATAATATTATACGTATGAAATTTCAGGAACAAATTGTTTCATATCATAATTCTCTGCCATAACAATAGAATCCGGTCATATTTTTTTCGTTTAAGCGGTTCGGTGACAATTTACAGCTTAAAACTGACGTTTCTATTATATTGACGTCGAATGCTAACTAGTATGCTTCCCTATAGTGCTAAATATCTTATAAATTTATACGATTTTATACAAATAAGTTTAAGTACACGAACTGCGTTTGTGCAATGTAAATATTATTTATATTTTATAAGCATGGGAGCTTGTTCGTTGAATATGTGTGGTGGTACTACTGTTTTATGGCGAAAATCCAAAGATTATGCCTTATGGAACGAGAACCAGAAATTTTTGATCACGTTCGTTTTCAATAAAATTGCAGAGTTATGAGGGTTGGTTTAATTTTTAACGTCCAGTAGTGCCAAAATATTGATTGTTTCGTACTGTTGAATCTGTATAGAATTCACCAAATAATGCATGAGAGCACGTGTGATAAGTTTATAGTATACATTAGCCATATATTTAGATTTCACGATACATCTCAAGTCTGCATACAATAGTTCCTTTGTTGTGTCATTTATCATATACTTACAAGTTACACAAATGTAAAACATATTCGTTTATTGTATAAATATAATAATTGTAAGTTTATTGCTATCTCAAATATGATTTTTGAATAAACAATTAAATATTATAATCAATTTGTTTTCTTCATAGCTTCAGAAATACGGTAGATTTTGTTTTCGTATTTCCATTATGTACTTGTGTTTGTAAATTTAGTGTTTTATTTAGAACGAAATGTGAAAAAGTATTGAAAAATAGGCAATACAAATTTTCTGCAAAAAAAAAAATCTAAACATCGGCAAAAATATTTTGGGGTGTATATTTTACACGCTTTACCTGCATGTATGTATGTATGTAACCGACTCCTTCGGACTCGATTTTGACCCACTTTTAACGGACATATTTAATTTAAACTTTGCGCACCTGTCAAAGATCGATGACAATGCAATAATCCGAAAAAAAAAATAAAAAAATTTAACTAAAAAATAAGTAATTTAGTTTTTTTAAACTATTTTTATTTTTTTTTGTACCTATAATCGGTTCGGATATATACAATTATATCTTCGATCGTATAAAACGCGCGAAGTAAATTAACGCAAAATCTAGACATATTTAGACACATCAGCTTATCACTATCTCAATATTATCCAAGAAAATAGTATATTGTCTATAGTAGAAGACAAAGAATGATGAGCTTAGGAATGATTTACGTGCTCGAGAGTCGAGGCGCACAGTAACGCGACCACCGTCAACCGAAACGCATCACTAGCGCGCGCTGTCAAATTCCCGCCAATTAAAATATCAATATAAGTGTAACCTGTATACTGGATGTGTGTGATGTCTGTGTAATTTTTTTTATTTTTTTTTATTGTTAAAAAATTCAAAATGACTGCCGGATCGGAAGAACATGAGCCCCTAATTACATCCTCCGTGGATCAGCAGAGGGTGACGTATAATAATTCTCCCCAGGTAAGTAACATAGTTTGATATTATTAGATTATGTGCTATAAGATTTACTGTAGTAATAAAAATATCTAAGATTATTTTAAGATTTCGTAACACTGTGTAATGGAATTTTAATGAGGATTCTTAGAATTATTAATTGTTATTTATTATATTCATATCTTGAATAACGATTTAAATAAACATCGTAAACTTGTATAAAATAGATATGTAAGGACTATTAAAATATTATATAGATGTGAACGGAACGCGTGAACCACGTGAGCTTTATAGAGCCTTAATTAATTTATTATTGTGTGTAAATCAACAGAGCAAAAAGTTAACTAGCTTCATCATAATAAAGAGTTTCTATGGATTGAATTAAAAAAAACTCTGTGTCGTTCTAAGATTGCCAGAGCAGATAAATTTAACATTTGTAATGATTTTTTAATAAATATAATAGCTAAGCATAGAAAATTTCATTTTAATGAACACAAGATTTCGTTGGTTTTAACTGGTTTTTACATAAACGAATAAATAAAATCTGATATCGATTCAACATTTACATTTAAAATGCTCCGTGATTTGATCAGTTATAACTGAATTCTTATTAAAAAAAACAACTATGTAGGTAGTTAGCCGCCATATTATTATGACATATTATATATCTGTATTAAAGAAGGCTTACAATAAACCTTGAGTTCCTTGCTTTAAATAAAAAAATATTGCTTAAGATAACAACAGTCCACGCATGGCTGTCGAATTTGATAAAAAGTACAGAACGAATATTTTTTTTATTCTCTATTGAAGATGTGGTCTCTTAAATAGGTATGTCGCAAACTAGTTTTAGTACATAATTCAATTATTTAAGAGTGTGAGCTGAGTGAGGTGCGGAATTTTTGGACTTGAAGTTTGTAAAATCGTAGTAATGATAAAGATGCGATTGATAAATAATAAACTTTTCATACACCATCTTCCTTGGTTTTCCTCATTTGATAACCCAATAAGACAATTAAAAGTACTGTTAGTAGCTAATTAATATTTCCCCAACCATGAGATCGTGGGTTATAAACCCCGTGTGCGATGATTGTCTTGCTAAGCACAAATAACGAGAATCTTTAGCAACTAACAAGCATATCTCTTTGCTCTGGCATCTCTCTATTTCGATCTGTTATTGGCTTTTTCGGCTATTCATATAGAACCCGTCACATACCTAGTCTAAAGTAGCAACGAGCAAAATTGAAAAGTTCTATCTTAAAATCTTATTAGTTTTGTAATATTCAGTTACTACTAGATTCTTGAAGCATTATCCTCCAGCACTATTTAAAAAAGTGCGACGACATTTAAAACCCAACCCCTATTTACTATTGGATCTATTATCTATGGCACTTTTGCTCGAATTGTCAAAACGCAGGCTTAACTCGCTGTATTTATTTAATTACAAAAATATAATATTGACTTTACGGGAGACCCTTAATTAACAAGAATTTAAATCTAAAACATACCCACACGATAAACGAACATTAAAATTTAATTCGAATAACAAGCTGAAGAATATTAAGACTAATGAACCTGAAGTATATAAAAAAAAACTTAAGAACAGTGCACTGTAGGCACTGACAAATAGTAGAACTCTTGACAGTTTACTCAATGGACAATGAAAAATGTCCGTTAATGTATGCAGTTCATTCAATATCGTATAATCTGTGCGCTTTTAAGAAGGTTCTAGTCATCGAGCACATTGTTTAGGCATTGTATGTAGTACTGCCGAATCCTTTCCACCCTTGCCGTGTAACAATTTTATTAAGAACACGTTAAGTTAGACACGCTATATCAAATAATAATACGAATCGAGGAAGTGAAATCGCCATTTGACATTCTGTTTTATGCAGTGGAATTTTACTAAAAAGCGTTGGTTATAAACCGGTTATGGACAATCAGATCATTAAAACGGTTCGATCCAAATTACTGCATAAAGATTTTTCTTATTGGATCAAGATTCAGAACTTATGAAATAAACCCAACGTGTTTGATTGTCATAATTAACTTTTGTGTAATTAATGGGTTTGAATATAGAGAACGAAAAATCATTACCGTTGTTCAAGAGGGCTGCTAGTTATTCATAGTCTTTGGGCATTTTTTTAAATTTATTTATTATTGAATGTGTTTGGAGATTTGTTCGACTTCCTGACGAAAATAAATTTCCTCGTTATATTAGTAAAGATAATTGCAACAAAAAACAAGTTTGTCTAATTACTTTATGAAATTGACTAACTATAAAAAATATATAGTTTTACGCGTGATTAAGAATTTTATTGCCATTTAGGAATGAGGCAGGTATATATAATCATTACAATGTTACATTTAATCTTAGATTTCTTGGTCGAAAAACGTTTAATTCTATAGAATCTACGTGGCGTAACGTTTACCACACGTTATTAGGGACCGGAGCAAATACAACACGATTAAATTAAACGGGTGGTTATTATTAAGAATGAATCGTATTTTCAACTCGACCAACAACCATTAAATTTCACTTTATGAACGATTTATCCATAGCCCTTAAGTGTGTAATTTTCGTTATGATAATATTTTTTGTATTGACTATTAGCTTCTATAACTTATAGTCATAATAAATATTTAGCATTCTTAGCATTCTGATTCAATAAGGGAGAGGTCTCTCTCTTAAACTTTTATTTCCCTCAGGCTAGAGGGTATCCAGCGTAACAAAACCAGAGTGATTGGTCTTAAAATACGAGATTTTTTTTTATAGAATATTACGATGATATTAAACTAAATATTAATGTAACATTTCGTTTATTTGAGGTTAATTTTACGTCATTTACTAAGTTTAAAGCTTAACACGAATTGTGTAATAAGTTGTAGCAAGGTCAACTAATTTCATCAGTCGGTCTATAAAAACTCGGAAACTAGTTTTGGTACGTTGTCCCACGATTAATGATACATTCTTAAAATGGAACAGCGAAATATTTTCCCGAAATTATTTCTATTTTACACAATAGGATTTACCGATTTACTGTTGTATTGTTAATTTTGTACCAAGAATTTTATTAGTAGATTTAAATTAATATTTTTACTTTTGCACTCTTGGTAATTTTTAAATTATTAGATGTTGGTATATAGTCTGTTAATTATTTTTTCAATTTGCCCTTCTTCACAAATTTATTTTTACTGCGTAGCGATCTTTACCATAACATAAAATAAATAAAAAAAAAAACATAAGAAATTCTGGATCATTTGTACTTTTTTTTCCTTACAGGTATAAAATTACTACAAAATCTTACAATGGAATAAATATTCTCAATCTGCAATATTTTTACTTTTGTCGAGAAGTTCCCAAACACGAATCGATAAGAACCATTCAATTAATTGTGTCCAATTCAGTACAATCGTTCATATCCTGTTCTTCGAACTCGATAATTTGCTAGTAAGATTTTCGGCTACTCTGTGGCCTAGTCTCGGTTTTAATACCGCATTAAGACCTGAGACAAGCACTTTTCTACGTGTATGAAACATGTTATTATATTATTCGTGATACGGAAGTACTAGCCGTCATACCCAAGAAACTTATTATCCGCGGTAAGTAAACCCAGGACATCAGGTGAACTTTATTGAGACACATCTCTAAACATTTTTTTTAAATATATTTATTTATTAACACTTCGTTGCATATATATAAATATAGTACAATTGACATAATTAAATAAGAAGGAGAGCAACTGGCGGCCTTATCGCTTTCGAGCGATCTCTTTCAGGCAACCACAGTGAGAAAAGAAAAAAATATATATAGTTTTTTGTTTTTATTTACACATATACAGTATTTACAATTTTCTTAACCTATAAAAAATAATAATAAAATAATAATAAATATATATTATTATTTGATATATCATTTATTAAAATCTAAACATAACAATCAAATATACCTACAGTATTTAGAATTTTGTAACTTACATAGTGATAAAATAATTAAAAATTCATAAAAATAAATTTGAACAAATTCAAAAGTTTGGTCCCTATGGCAGTGTACCTTTTACGCTGGCAGCATTTCCTCACTGTATTGCGATACTTATTCGTTGAACGAGGAAAGCACCAGACCAGGCGCCTAGTAAAATCTTTAATTAGCGCCTGTGCACTTAAACCCCAAGAGTCTCTACTCCAAAGGGAACAAAATCAAAGTTGAAGGTTCTTATATTTGAGCATACGTATCACGTAATATTAGAGTCATTATTAATATTTTCACAATGGTACTTTAATATTTCTTAACCTAGCAATCAACAAAACATATATATAATAATCTAAGAAATTTTTTTCTACCTTGGAAGGTAGGTAGATATAGGAATGTGGCGTGACTACTAATGACATTGTGTATATCCAGGGCATATCAGCTTAGAAACAAGTAATCAATAAAAAACAATATATTGGTAAACAAGTGTTCGTTAGTAAGCTTATATGTATTTCAATTCCATCGCAGACGAAGGGAAGTGATTTTGTCTACAAAGACGTCTTAAAAACCAGTGGCATACATACGCCACAACCTTTTTAGTTCTGGGCCTCAGATTTCTGTATCTGTTTCATTATCAACAATCTAAAAGGCAAATAGGTGATCAGCCTCCTGTTCCTGACACATTTTTTGGGCAAGCCGGTTTCCTCACGATGTTTTCCTTCACCGTTCGAGCGAATGTTAAATGCGCACATAGAAAGTCAATTGGTGCACAGCCAGGAATCGAACCTACGACCAAGGATGAGAGTCGCACACTGAAACCACTCAAACTCAAAATAACTTTATTCATATAGGTAAACAATTTTCTTAATTTAACTTCTTTTTTGACGTTCATAAGTGTACTTGTTTACCTATATGAATAAAGATATTTTGAGTTTATCAATTTCCGTAGCGCTGATGCAATAATTTATGAAAGTTTGGACCGCTGTCCCTGTTAGAAGTAACAGCGTATTGACGGGGCTATAAAATAAGAAACCGCCCGGTTTGATCGCATATTTGCATC